CCACTGTAGAGAACAGACAAGCCGACATCGAGTCCAGAAACAAATATAACGAAGCGGTCCGCAATGCCAAAACCCAGCATGATATAAAAGTTAGGCACAGGGTAATGTCGCAGCGCAATGGCAGTCGGTCTTTCTGGACGCTGGCCGAGCAGATTGAAAAGAACTTCTCACACAGTAGCCTTCCACCACTTACGTGTCAGGATGGAACTATTGTATTCGACTCAAAGGCCAAGGCGGAAGTGCTAGCCAAGATCTTTGCTGCCAACTCCACCATGGACGTCCCCACCAACGCCCAAGTGCCGTCAATTCAAAGGGCTCCCCACACTATGCGGGAGGTAACATTCAGGCATAAGACCATAAGACGAGTGCTCTTGTCGCTCGACACCAACAAAGCTTCTGGTCCGGACTTGATTCCTGCCATTGTACTGAAGAGATGTGCAGCTGAGCTTGCTCCAGTTCTTTCGCGTCTCTTCCAGATATCTTATGAATCCGGCACCTTCCCAGAAAACTGGAGATTTGCTCATGTACAGCCCATCCCAAAAAAAGGATCTAAAACCGACCCTTACAACTACAGGCCTATAGCTCTGCTTTCTGTTATAAGTAAAGTGATGGAGAGGTGCATAAACCGCGAGCTTCTGGACTACCTCGAACGTCACAGCTTGATTAGCGACAGGCAGTACGGTTTCCGGCACCAACGATCCACAGGGGACCTCCTTACGTCACGCAACTGTGGAGTAAACTCATCCAGTCTCATGGTGAGGCTCATGTCGTTGCTCTTGACATCACGAAAGCGTTCGATCAGCTGTGGCACGCTGCCCTCTTGAGCAAACTTCCATCCTACGGCCTCCCTGAAAAGCTTTGCAGATGGGTGGCTGACTTTCTCTCTGGCCGCAAGATATCCGTCGTAATTGACGGATTCTCCTCTTCATCCCACAACGTCAACGCGGGTGTTCCCCAGGGGTCGGTCTTCGCTCCAACACTGTTTCTCTTACATATCAACGACCTCCTTTCCTGCACGATCAACCCAATCCACAGCTTCGCTGATGACAGCACTCTGCATGCAGGGATTCAGAGTGACAAGCCGATCTCTGCCGCTGAGCTGGAAAAAAGAAGACTAGCGACGACTTCTTCTCTGACAAGAGACCTGGAGGCTATCACTGCTTGGGGACGCAACAATCTTGTACAGTTCAATGCCTCCAAAACACAGTACTGTACTTTGACGAACAAAAAGCGTCCTAGCGCTCATGCAGTTTCGATAGACGGTGGAGTTCTACCAAAGAGCCATTCATTTCGGCTGGTCGGAGTCCAGATCACCGAGGACCTGATCTGGCACGAACACATCTCTTCAATAGCTGCAGCTGCTGGGAAAAAGCTAGGCTATTTGTTTAGGGCTAAGAAGTACTTTTCTCCGCATGACCTTCTCACTCTACACAAGGCCCAGATAAGGCCTAGCCTCGAGTATTGCTCACACATTTGGGGTGCTGCCGCCCCGACTACATTGTCCATGCTCGATGCTGTCCAGAGGAGGGCGGTCCGACTGATCGATGACTCTTCTCTAACAGACAGTCTCGGGACTCTTTCGCACCGGCGGGCCGTCGGCGATCTAGCTCTTTTCTATCGCTACACCAACGGGCTTTGCTCCTCAGAGCTCTCTTCCATGATGCCGCCGCGCGATGTGCCTGCCAGACAGACCCGCCTGACTTCGGCGTCCCATCCTAACCGTGTCAAACTTTGTACATCCAGAACTAGCCGATACGACCGCTCCTTTGTCCCGAGGGTGTCTAGATTGTGGAACAATCTACGGGAGGACGCTTTTCCCAGTTCTACTAACCTTAGGCAGTTCAAAAATCGTATTAACAAAATTTCTTTGGGATCATCATAGCAGCCGCGGTGTTCCGGCATTTAGGCTTCTGCCTGCGCGGCTGTTTCGATAAAAAAAAAAAAAAGTTCCTTCAGGAGTTCTCCTCAGGGCTCAGTATTAGGTCCCTTACTATATGTGATTTATACGATCGTCGATCTGCAAGACTGTTTATTCCACTGTAGTATGCAAACTTATGCAGATGATACTCAGTGTTTGGTTTCGATCCGTCAACAGTTGATGAAGTTTCTTTTAAAGTTAATTTAGATATGGCTAACATCGGTGATTACTGTAACAAACACTGCTTGAAGATCAATCCTAATAAAACTACTGCAATGTTGTACTGTTCGAAGAACTCCTACCGTGAAATGAAGCAGAGGATTTGTGTTTTTTTGGATGAGACACTCATCCCTTTTGTGGATTACGCCAAGAATCTCGGTGTTACCCTTGACTTAAATATGAGATTCGATCGGCATGTCTCTTTCTTATCTAGAGTAACGTATATGCGTTTGAGACTCCTCTATTCTAATCGATACATCTTGAATTTTAAAACCCGAAAAAAGCTCGCTGAAAGTCTTGTGTTGTCTGTCGTTTCTTACTCTCTTGTTCTTTATTACCCATGTTTGGACTACGTCCACAAAAGGAAATTCCAGAAAATTCAGAACAGCTGTTGTAGGTTTATTTTTGGATTGCTCAAGTTTAGTCGCGTCTCAGATAAAATCAAAGAACTCAACTGGTTGCGAATTGATAAGTTATTTTTATATCTTTTGACCGTCTTCACGCATAAAGTTCTATTATCTAACAGACCAGCTTACCTCGCTAGCAAATTAGTTCACCGAGGTAGTTTTGTTACCAGAGCTTTTAGATTTAATGCTAATTTTAACATGCCTCCTCACAATACCTCGATCTTTGAAAGAAGTTACACCTATAATGCTGTCAAGCATTACAATGCAGTCAACAGTGGCTATCGATCCAAACAGGTTGTTTCTTCTAAGAAATTAATGAAAAGTGAGCTGCTGGAGTCCATTTAGTTCAGTTTTTCTTGTGTTCATGTGATTTTTTTTTGTTTGACTATTTTCTACTATTTTTGTTTCAAATTTAAAACTATTGCAATACTATCTGCATTTGTCTCGTGCAATCAACGTTGTCATTCTTATGAATTGTATTTTTTTTTGGTATGTTATTATTTTGTTTATGTGTTTAAGTATTCTTTTTTCCTGTTGTGGGGTTAAGTGTAAGAGTAGCCGTCTGGCTAAACTTCGCCTCACTGCAGCTAATAAAGGCATTATTATTATTATTATTATATTTAAGCAGCTTATAACAACAAGAAGTTTGATAGTTCCAATTATCAATTATTTAGATATTTGATCAAACGTCTGAAAAAATGCCCACCTTTGACAGCTCGTAGCTCCGACATTTTTGAAGACATTTGGATAAACCTTAGTTCACATAAATTCTAAACAATCTTTTATGTGAGCTATGGGTGACTTGGAAAGACAGACATTTGAAACCTCATCCGAAGTTCAATCTGTAACCACATTTAAGTCGATTTCATGTTGTCTCGAACTGTGCATCTCCTTATATCAATGCTTATGAGCAGCATATGACTAAATTGACCAGACTCTGCAATGCCTCTAAAAAAGGGCAATTGGATTTACTCAAACAACTGGAACATCTCTCATTAGCATGTTAGAAAAACGTATATATAAAGCACTTTACAATTTCGAATAAGTAGGCTACAGCCTCTGTTTCTGGTATACGAACCACTTGAGCGGCATTTGCATAAAATGCAAATGATCTTATCGATTGCTACATTTGCGTTGCATATTCTACAATGCCAGATGAGAACAATCACTCCAGATCTAAGTGCTGAAGATCTGATGGATGAACGTCTCTGTTGTTTGTCTTAAGCTGCACAGTAGAATATATTTGTTTAGCATAGCTGATTATATAAGATCGGCATAATATCCGGATATCATCTGTCATATACATTTCGCGTATTTGAGGAACACTGGTAGACGGACGACACGAAAATCGGATTTGAAACTAAATATAGAGAACTAGGTACGCAACAGTATCTGACACGATAGCGAGACTGCTTCAGGAATACACACAAAAGTGATAGCCATACTGTCAGCTTAAATTAAGACTAGAGATGGACCGGTATAGGAGCTTTGCCGATACAGATAATCCACCGATACCAATATATCAGAGGACGATATATCGATCGTTCATTGCTTCCCGTATACGATCGAGAGTATCTTGGTTCGGGTAAGTACCTGGACCCAAAACAAATCTACCGATGGCTATACATATACTTAGTGACAAAAAATGTAAACACCTGCGTATGTTTATTAGAATTCAGGAATTTTCTACATATCGATTTATCTTGCCATGGACTAAAATTATAAAATGGTCAGGTTTTTCTGTTTCTGTGGTGGCTGCGTGTATTGTTTGGTGATAAAGAAGCATTAAATTTTCATGCCAGTTAAATATTAAATTTTGTGTAGCTCCACAGACTTTAGCAGCTCATACTCACGAAGTTTCTGTAGCCTGGAATGTGATGCCCCAACAGGATATCGACCACCTTATCAGCACGATGCCCAGGCGTGTTAATAAGTGTACATACAAGAAATCGTGGATCTTCAATACATTATTGAACCTGCTTCTGCAGGCAGTTGACGAATCAAGCTGAAAATTCAATCATTTTACTAGTAACGGCCCGTTCACACATGGGAGTCCGTTTTACTGGTACGTTTTTAACGGATACGTTATAAATTTATGCCCTGTTCACACATACATAGACACCGTATAACGTTCTACGGATCCGTGATTACTGGATGCGATGTGTGAACAGAAAACTCGCAGTTCGCTATTCTACAAGGATGGACGCTGTCGTGTTGTATTGGTACTACCGTCGGAGAATGAAGATTCGACGTTATTGGCAGCATCCACTTATGGCCCAAAGATCTAGAGAGGGTGCTAACAGTTTACTTATGAGTCAGTTACGAGGTGATGAATCGGAATTTTTCAATTACTTTCGTATGTCAATGTCTACTTTTGATGAACTTCTTGAACTATTGGAAAAGGATTTAAAAAAGCAAGATACTCGTTGCAGGAAAAATATCTGCCCAGAAGAAAAACTAGCGATATTTTTAAGGTACGTACGTTTATTTTTAAAACTCAGACAGATCTAACGTAGCATCACTGTCTACAGATTGTACTGGCGATAGTGCACTATCAGTAGGCTGTAGTCTGCTAAAATATCCCTGAGATTGATAGTGACTAGCATCAGATGTTTGTGTATAGGCTGACCAGTCATAAGTTGACTGGCCAACTCTCCTACGTTTAATATTTTGTAATAGGTTTATCACCCCTGACTGGAATTCCAAAGTTTGGTCATCATCAAGCAGGATTGCGATCATGCTGCTCAGTTTTCTTCGGTTTTATCTGATAGTCAATGTGCTCTGCGTTTTGGCGGGGAGGCTAGATTTTGTTTGTACTTTTAACTGTCATTGTCTAGTTGTGTCATTGTAGTCACACTGTCATCTTCGTTTGTAGGTTCATTCGTTGTCGTGGTGTGTTCTTCAGTTTGTTTAGTAGATACGCTTTCCTGGTTTCACCAGCAGCAACTACTTTTTTCAAAAACAGCATCTGATTATGGTATTTGTAGGGCTTCGTGTTTGAGACAGCGGAACCAGACGTCTTACAATTCTTTTTATCTTTTAGTGTTCTCACCCAGGCATCTCTCATCTGTCTTCACTTTTTCATAACAAGTTTTCCTAAAACAAGTAATAAAACAATCAATTTTATTTTCAGGTATGCAGCATCCGGGGGTTCCTTTAAAGATCTCCATTACACCTATCGCGTTGGTGTATCGACCGTTAGCAACATTATTAAAAGAAGTTTCAAAATGCATATGGAACAATTTAAGTGAAAAATTTATGCGACTTCCTACATCAGTCGACGAATCGGAACAGATAGCAAGTGGATTTAACAAAAAAGCTAATTTTCCCCACTGTCTCGGAGCTGTCGACGGAAAACATATCCGACTTAAAAAACCACTAAATAGCAGTTCACTGTATATCAATTACAAGGATTTTTTTTCATCATATTACTAGCGATCGTAGACTCCAACTATCGCTTTGTATACGTCAGTGTCGGATCTTATGGAAAAGAATGCGATTCATCAATATTCAAGGAGACAACATTTTGGAAAATGATGCTAGACGGCAGTCTTCAAATACCAGCACTATGCCCATTAACAAGAGACTCAGAAACGAGAGTCCTTATGTGGTCATTGGAGACGAAGGTTTCGGATTACATGAAAATTTACTAAGGCCCTTTGGCGGGACGCATCTGGACAACAATAAGCGAATATTCAACTATCGTTTGACTAGAGCTAGGAGATACGTTGAATGTGCCTTCGGTATCTTAGCTAATAAGTAGAGAATATTCCAGCGGCCTCTAGACATCGATAAAACAGCTGTATGGACTGTTAAGGCATGTACTATTCTACACAACTTTATAAGGGACAAGGAGGGCTCAAACAGTGATAATAACGTATCTGAAGAATTTAGTTATGAAAACCTGCCCCATGAAGTAAGAACACGAGGTGGTAATACTGCCAATTTAGTTTGAACAGAATTCGTAAACTATTTCATGTCCGAAACTGGATCAGTTCCATGGCAGGATGAAGCAATTTAGAATGTAATTAAATACTAAAACAGACACTTACCGAACTCTTGTCTTGTCTTTGTTCCATAGCCTCAAAATCCTCCATTAGAATAACGCATATTTCGCGCCAACCTGCAATACTTGCAGTATTGTCTTTGTATTTATCCAGCGTCTTGTCCCAAAGGACTGGCCTATCTTCCACCAAACTAATCAAAATATCCTTGTCTATTAACTTTCCCCACTCCTTGGTTAACATGGTTGATCAGTGATTATAATAATTATTACACACTATGCACGCGTGCGTTCTCTATGAATGTACAATAGAAAATGCGAGTCACAACCTGTCGTATCATTCCCCCTCCTACACCCCGCACACACCGCCCGCCACGCACACAGTATCTATCCGTTAAAATTCTACGTATCCGTATATTTTTACTGTTCCGTCGTCCAGTATTCGATGATAAAAACGGAATGTCATATTTTAACGGAACAGTATTTTTTACTGTATACAGTATATATACTGTGCCATGTGTGAAGTCGCTCATACAACTATATACGCCACCGACGAAAAAAAACGTATCCGATAAAACGGACCAGTAAAACGGAGAGCATGTGTGAACGGGCCGTAAGGGACACTGAACACATGCCAAAAATTATTAAAATCGGATAAGCATACGTTGCACAAGTACACATGAGGTGTGACTGAAAATGGCTGCAAAGTTTCGTTTTATTGTACACGTAACAGAAAGAGGCAACTTCAACTCAACAAAAATATACGTATATGAGGAGCAGACTTGCAAATGCATTTTGTCCAAATTTTCCATATTTGAGAGGAGCAACACATCTTCAGCCCTGCATGATTTTTTGAAAAAGTCCGGTTTTGCCCCGAATATAGACGCCCTTCGGCTCTCCTCTGATGGATGCGAGGGGCTAAATAAAAATAGCTTTACCATCCACATGCTAATGTTATGGCTATACAGCTTTGTTCCAGAAACGATTAAAAGAGTAGACGCTTTTCCCAGTGCGAGGACACTCTTATCTTCCGGCGGATAGAATTTTTGGGAAGGTGGGAGAGATTTTAAGATGACCCGCGTTCATAAAAACTTTACAAACAAGTAGGTCAAATCAGAAAACTTGTAACTGATTGGTCATTGGTGAATATAAAACCAGCTTCAATATGTTTGATAAAAAGTCCTAGGAATTAGCTCAAGTAAACGAATAATCATCAAACGAGGAAAGCCCTCAGACGTTGTGGTGAAATCTGAACTGTTGTATGTAGCGGATGATTCAGCAAAAAAATTTGTAGAAATCTAAAAAGCGGTTGGATCAAATTGATCTTCCCGAAGTACGACTTGGACATGAAATAAAGCAGAAAAAGCTTGACAGTCTAAAACACCTACTTGTTAAATTATTGTCTGGTAACGAATGATATGAAACACAACCCGGAGCTGAAATGGATGGCTGAAATATTTGAGAAAACTGTGGCAAACTGTAGTGATGAAGATGAAAAGCACGAAAATGACAAAGAAGCTTGTAAATGCACTGAGAATGATGATAATGCATTTTTTTTAATAAAGTCGTTTACTACTAATATTATTATCTATAATACTTACAAATTTTGTTTTGTTTCATGATAATGTTTCAATATAAACCTTTTTTTCAAATAAAACAGAATTTTTTATTTTTGTTAACTTGACAATGACTTTCAAATTGCATTTTTTCCACTAGAGACAATCAAACTGCATTCTGATAGCATTATATTATGTCAAAAGTTTTTTCTCTTATGGTTAGTTTTTCTGTACTAGTTTTTTGCTCCTCCTGAAAATTGCTAAAAATGGACAAAATGCAATTTGCAAGTCTTCTCCTCATATTTCTCTATAAATTATGACGTGTTCTTTCCACTCAATAATATTAGAAGTTATTAAATTTATGATCGGCCGGCCTATATCGGCAGATGGGCATTTCCGATATGGCGATATACATATCTGTATCGATTAATCTCTAATGAAGACCAGATATCTTCCGTAATTTGTACAAAGCGATGCCAGACACAGCAAAAGTGTTCATAAATAAACAAAAGCATGTTAAGGTTCAGTATACATACCATAGAGAGCATGTTCTCTTTTAATAGATAATTACCTCTAAACTGAGCCTAGTAAAAGAAGCTACGCTTTTCTTGCAAAAGATACAAATGAACATCAATGTTCCTTTTGTATCGCTGCAAAAGGCAGACATGGATGAGATTTCAGATATTCGGCACTACACATTCAAAAACGTAAAGCCGATTATGCCTTGGACAGTATAAACAGCATCTATGTCGATGCTGCTTCTTATGAATTGGTTTTTTTTTTATCCGTCATTGTTTCTCAAAGCTGTCCGTCGAACATTTACTCTTGCTTAAAGTCTTGTCGGTCAGTAGCTCCGTCAAATGCCAGACACAGTTAGGGAGAGCGAAAGGAAGAGCAAAGAGGATAAAGCGCGTCGGTTGGATGAGTTGCTCAAGATTGTTAACTGTGATTCTGGTATTCCAAATTGATATAAGAACTATACAGAGTGACTTTGAAGTTGAGTCATTAATTTTCAGATAATAACTGTAGAAGGAAGATAAACCAAAATATGTGTGCAAAAATAAAAAAAATAAAAAAAAATGTTACCTTGTTTTATAAAGTATTTCAGTGCGCACCTGTGCGCCCAAAAGCGTGTCACAAAAACTGTTCGAAATGATTTCCGTTTTGCTAGACGCAGAGCTGGGCCATGTCTCTTTACAAGCACGCAATAAAATCACTGGTTGATTTCTGATCACTGTACTCATTTCCTCAATTCGAGCACGTAATTCTTCGCGGGTATTAACCGGTGTTTTATACACTTGAGATTTTAGCCAACCCCGATAACAAAAGTCTACAGGATTTAAGTCCTGAGACTTTGGCGGCCAAGGTACAAAACCGATCCAACGATTACTAAATTGTCTATTTAAAAATTCACGCACATTTCTTGCATAATGGAGGGGTGCCCCATCTTGTAAAAACCTCATGTTTTGTCTAATATTTAAAGGCACATCTACCAGTAAACCAGGCAAATTGTGTTGCAAGAAATCAAAATAATTTTCACCAGTTAAGCGATTTGGTAATTCACTAAAATTCCATTAACAATTCCAGCCCACAGGTTGATTGGTTCAAATCGCTGTTGAAAATTAGTTTCCCTTATTTCATGGGGATTTTCAATAGCCCAAACGTGAAAATTACGTGAATAATAATAAATCATTTACTAATTCTAAAATTTGTTCCTCTAGTTCTATTTGATCGTGCAGTCTTGAAACACCGGCATGCTCTCCCCTGTGAGGTCTTAAGTCACCTGATTCAGGAGCCCTTTGTACTACGTTAACAAAAGCACGAGAAGTTGGTTGCACTCGATTGGAAAACCGATCCGCATAAATCCGTGATGCCGCGGCAGCATTTTGTAAATAAGAATCATGTCCACAAGTTCAGCATTTTCGCAAAAATGTGCCATTTTTCATTTCGTTTGAGCCACGCAACAAACACCACTATTCACTCGCGCGTTACCGACTGACACATTGACTGAATACAACTGAATAAAATTGTAGTAAAAACATCGTGATAAGCGTTTCAAATTCTTTCGCTTTTTTGTTTCCGATGCGATGAACCGATAAGGCGGATTATATCCAGGGTGGTACTCAAACCTCTAAGGGGCTATAACTTTGTTACTTTATTTTTACCAGAAAAATGTTATAGGAAAAAAACATTTCTTTTGATCAGATCTACTCACTGCTAAAATAAATGACTCAACTTCGAAGTCACCCTGTATATACTTGTCCAATACACCTTTGGAATAGGTTATTTAACAACTGAAATTCTCAATCTATGATTTTCGTACGTACATTTTTATTTTTAGGCAACAAGGAGGGTGACAAAGCTCAAAACCGTATAACAACTTACCATGCTTTTGAATTATATCTATAGATTAACAGCTATCCTAAAACATTAGGGTTTTTAGATTATCATCAGTTGTTTCAGATATTTGCCGACGTGTTAGAGAGGCGACCACGGAATACGGTTCTAGAATGATAATGAGTTCAACTCATACTTTATCACTTAATCCGCTTGTGCTTCCTTCACAAAACCGCGCAATGTACCAAGAACCTCATATTTTTCAGTCCAACTGTATTATACTCTAATTTTCGTTTGCATGTGACTGTCTGATGTGTCTCTATCCCACTGTTTCTCGCGTAGAGTAGAAAAATAATCACTTCTCCGATACTTTGTCACGTGCCAAAATCACGTATCCTTTTTTAACTATGGTGATCACTTATCAGTAAAGACCGGATTTATAAGCACAAAATTATCAAAAAAAAGTGCTTAAAAAAGCTTCATATTTTAAAAAAAAGCATCACATTTTGTAAAAAAAGCAAATATAAGTGGATCTTAAAATAATGCAAAATATATTTTTGTATGTATTTAATTCACAAATAAAACAAAATAAACACTTCAAAACAGTAGAAATAAAACTTTAAACACTTTTTAACAGCTTAAGATAAATATAAGATAAATAAATATAAATATAATTTAATCGTTCTGAAAACAGCTTATTATTAAATACTGTTCCAAATGCTCCACTGTCAAATTATGCCTTTTATCGTCTAAGATATATTTATACTTTGAAAAGCTCCTTTCCACGTCTACACTTGTAATAGGAGCGTATTTAAACTTTGAAATAATATCTGGATACATATTTAATTCTGGAACATTTTCGCCACCTAAAACTGACGATATTTGAACCAGTTTCTGAAATCCAATATTTTTTTCAAAAATCTCTCTCATTCTATTTTTAATTAAGCCGCCAATTTTTCCTGGAACAGTATTAATAGTGTTTTTGAAATCCTCTATTAAAGCAACTGAATCAACCAAAGGAACTTGTTGCTTTTCCAATGATTTAATAGTTTTGCTAATGCAACTGAAGTTGGTTTTGATAAAAGCCAAATTGTTTTGGAGCTCTCTATTGTTAAGAACGATCTGACACTCTTGTACTGATTTACTTGTGCTTTCGGAAAATTCAAAAATCAAATTTTTAAAATTTTGGAAATGGTCTGCATAATATATAGCGGCGTCAAGCCATGTTCCCCATCTGGTTAACACTGGTTCTGGAGGCAGTGGAATATTTGGACAATGTTCTCTAAACATTTGTACTCTCAAAGGCGCTTTAACAAATATTTTTTTGCCATTGCTGATCAACTTATTTACTAACGGAAATTGTAAGCGTATGGTTTCGGCAATACGATTGATCCCATGAGCTAAACAGGTGCAGTGAATTAAGTTGCCGTAAAAAACTTTCAAGTTTGTGGACGCCTTAACCATGTAAGAAGCTGCATC